GGGATCCGAACCCTCGGACGGGAGGGCCGCCGCGCTTCCCAAGCGGCGCACTATCCAGTGCGCCACCGGGCCGGCCCTAGCTTGCTTTTTCCCCCTGAAATTAAACTAGAAAAATCTCTTCTAAAATTTTTCAAACATATTTTCTAGTATTTATTTTGTGATAATGCTTTTTCCTATTCTATCTCAAATGAAGACAGCTAATTTTGTGTTAAAATTATTCACATATTTTATTCCTTAATAGAAGGAATTTTATTGATTCTTATATGGTTACTTAAGAATTTGGTTGTATTACTGTTATAATGCATTGTGAGTGGAAAAAGATTTATTGTAGTAAATTTAAGGAGAAGTGGTATGAGATGAGCATGGCAAAATATTTTTTTCTGTGTGGTAATTTGAAAAACACTCTTTGGATTTGTTTTAGCATCAAATTACAAATTAAAAGTTATCTATGAAGTGATTTTCTGCAACTTATATCAAAGTTTTTTTTTTTTTTTTTTTTTTAAAGATGACCGGTAAGGGGATCTTAACCCTTGGCTTAGTGTTGTCAGCACCACGCTCAGCCAGTGAGCAAACCGGCCATCCCTATATGGGATCCGAACCCGCGGCCTTGGTGTTATCAGCACCGCACTCTCCCGAGTGAGCCACAGGCCGGCCCCTCAAAGTTTTTCATTGACTGATGTATTTCTATGGAAAGCATTCCAGCCTGAAGACAATAGTTACACATCTTATATGTTAAGATGAGTATGATTTCAATGGAAAATAATTTTCTGTTTAAAGAAATCAGAAAAATGAAACAGTGTCTTTGTATTCATATTAATGTTATGTTTTCTTAGCTTGCTCTAGAGGTAACCTCACCTTGACAAACAGGAAGTCTTTTTCATGCAGATCATAGTTTAAGTCCTAACCAAGATTTAAAAACCCAAATTTATATAAGCTGAAAGCAATTGGTTGTATGTCCCCCACAATAGCTTTTAGCTGTTTGTTCTTTGCTGCTATCTCTGTTGTTTGTTCAGGTAAGGATTTCAACTATGGCTGGTCTCAGTTTTTTGAGTAATGTTTGTTCTGGAAAACTTTTGTTATGTCCTTTGTAGTTCTGTGTGCTGGGGGAGGTAAAGATCTTCCTCTTTGTTCTCTTAGTTCTAGCAAAACTTGAATGTGGCTCAAATTACTTTTATAGGTGGTCATTTGCTTAGCAAAAGATTTTCAAGGGAAAAAAATATCACAAGGTTTGGTTATAAATTTAGTTCTCAATATTGCTGTTGCAAACACCAAGGTCAAGGGTTTGGATCCCCATATCTGCCAGCTGCCAAAAGAAAAAAAAAATTCTAGTGCAAATATGAAATAGACTAGAGTTTTCATTTTAGCAAGATTTTAGTCCTCTGAGTAGTAATCTGATGAACACTGAGCTGCTCATTTTTCCCTAGATGTATTGGTTAAATTAATGAAACCAATATGACAGTAAGGTGGAAATTCCATTGACTTAAAAAAAAAAATGGCTTTATTGAGATATGGCGTATAATCCACCCTGTTAAAGTGTACAGTTCATCCGTTAACTGTTAAAAAATGTTACCTCCTAAATCATCTTGAGGTTCCTATTGTCTGTTTTGATGCTTTGATCAAAAACTTCCTAATTAATTAGAAAAACAGCTATAAGGTGGGGACTTAAATTATATGCACCTAACTTACCAAGAATTGTAATTTTCATTCTATTTGGACTGGTAAAGAAAAGTCCCAGAGCACTGGGAAAAAAGTGAAAGGCAATTTGTTCTTCACAAATTATATTAAGTATATATGTGAATATCTATATCTTTTGGTATCAACCACATAAGATACGGAGTCAGGAACCTTATATACAGAGATTGAAGCATATAATCACGCACCAACATTCGTTTCCATGTAAGATTGGCTGTGGGTCTTGATCAGTTAGTAATTAGATGTGACTGGGATAGAAAGTAACCGTCCTGCACAGTGCATCCAAATGTGATATCCATGTTGTGGCTGCATAAGATGAACTAGGGTATGAGGAGTTTTTTTTTTTTCCTTGGGAAAAATTATTAAAAATGCCTTTTATCATTCCATAACTTGAATATGTTTTAAAAATGATTTAAGGGGGACAGCATTATTTGTTACATCCAGTGGCTTATTGCTGCCCTTCTCTAGGTGCTTATAATGTTCCTGGTTGATGGTGGACCACACTTTCTGCAGCCCAGTTACTAAGTTTATTTTTGAATTCTGTAATGTTAATTTTGAACTAAGTTTGA